AATAAAATATTTTTATAAAAGTGGATTAATTGCATAATGATATATCATTAGAGAATGTATATGTGTCATAATGTCACTTGTCAGTTGTCACCCTTCAATTAAATCAATTTTATTCTATTTACTTTGTTAAAAAATATACTCCGTATGTAGCAATAAAATAAATAATGTAATAAGATGAAATTTTTGAAACAAAGTATTTAATTAATAAATATGCATATGTGTAACACCCCAAAACAAACCCTAGAATTATTAATAGATAATTATCCAATTAATAAAATTTAATTTGATTAAAATAAATTATTGTTGGGCTTTAGGCCGAAATAATATGTGTTTAATATCTAATATTAAAATCAAGATAGGTCTCATAGAGATAAATCCAAAATGTTGACTAATTGTGTGATCTTGATTGGGTACAGGAGTATAGACCCAAAATCAAGAATAAATGAATAATGTATTTATGATGAAATGATTTATTTAAATAAATCATAAGAATAAATATTATGAGCATCTTTTTGAGTAAAGGTCAAACAAATTAATTTTGAGTCTGATAAAGTCAGCCATCCAAAAACATGATGTCAGAAAAAGTATAACAAATAAATACTCCATCCTCCACAAATAAAGTTCTCACTTTCCTTTTTCGTCCGTCCAAAAATAATCTTCTCATTTCTATTTTTGGAAAATTTTTTGTATCAAAAAGTCCAAATTACCCTCCCCACCCACGCCCTATCTTTTCTTTTTCTTTTTCCTTCCCCAATCCCCATCCACCGTTTCCTTTCCCAATCCCACCCACCACTTTTTTCTCTCTTTCCTCTCTTCTTCTTCTCTCGTTTCTTATCTTCTTTCTTCTTCTCTTCTTTCTTTCTCCTTTCCTCTTCTGATTTTTCCTGTAAATTGAGAGCAGTGAATCAGCGATCGGAGTAAAGGTGGGGTAGCGAGGCGGTGGCGGTGGTGGGGTAGCGAGACGGTGGCGGTCTGATCTCCTCCTCCTCCTCTTCTTCTTCTTCTTCAATTTCCATGGTCCAACGCCCAATCCATCTTCAACTCTTCTTCTTTCTTGTCCGTCTCCGTCAGATCTGAGAATTTTGATTCAGATCAGCGCCGGCAAAGAAATCGATGGTGGTGGCGGAGTACAGGCGCCATATTGGACCAGAGGGAAGGAGCCCCATATTTCTTCCTTCGTCTTTTTTTTGTTTGGGAAATTGAAGGAGTGGGCAAAGGCGACGGCGAGCAGTGACACGGCCGCCGGAAAATTTGATCTATTTGGGTCGCCAGAATTTTGTTCTGGCCGGTTGTGTTGGGTTGGGGTAGTAATTTAGGCAGGATAGGAATGGGTGGGGAAGTGGGGTAAGGTGGAGGGCATTTTGGGAAAGTCAAGGAAATTTTTACATTTTCTTAAAATGCGTGCCCGGTCAAACCAGGAACTTTAATAATGGACGGAGGGAGTATAAAAGTTATAACGTTGGTTAGAGTTTAACTGTCCGATCACAACGGTGCAAACGGATTTCAATTTGGAGAAAGTTGGATTAAAAAGTGTACTCCGATTGGGACCAAAATTAGTCCCAATCAGGGTCGACTCCTCCTCCTCCACTCAGCCGATTGAAGATCAATTTCTGCGCAAATCCTACGCAACAATGCTGTCACTTTCCCCATTCTCTTCCTATATAAACCACCATCAACCTTCTCATTCTTCACCAAAAACTTGTAAGTTTAGTACCAAAGTGTTCCCGAGAGTGAGGAGAACATGCTGCAGTAGTTGGTGGCCGCCGAAGTCGCCGTAGTTGGGAGAAATCATCGCTGGAAGTTTCTCCGGAAAATTTTCAAAACCTCCGTTAAGCTTCGAGATAAGCCCGTAGATATATAAGAAATAACCCTACGTAGCACTCTAACTCATCTAATACTACGTATTTAGCATTGCTTATTGTTTTTTTTACCAAATTAGCTATTTATGTTGTCAATCTCTTCCAATCATACCCTTTATGTGGTCAAATCCTTTTTATCTATCCGACTATCAATTGTTTCAATTCTTCTTTCAACTCTTATGCATAGTGGCATAGTACTTTTTTTTATCAAATTCTTTCTTCAATCAATTAAATGTACTTTTGAATAAATATATATAATAAAAAGACGATATATCAAAATTATATCATAAAAATATGCCAATTATAAATACTTCCTTCATCCCAAAATAGGGCTCTTATTCGATTTACGATGTTTGATTGAAGTTATTTTCAAATCAATATAAGTAAAAGTTAGTGTATAATTAAAAAAAGGAATTATATACTCTCTCCGTCCACAAATAAACTTTACATTGCGCGTTACGATGTTTGACTGAAGTTATTTTCAAATCATTTTATATGAAAAATGGTGTAAAATTGAAAAATAAAAATTACATATTAAAAAACTATATCAAAAGATCTACAAAACTAGAAGTGACATGACTATATTATTTTATCAAATGGGTGACGAAAATAGGCTAACAAAGTGAATAAAGTTTGACCCTGTGAATAATGAACGTAAAGTTTATTTGTGGACGGAGGGAGTATTAAAAAAACTACATAAATTATTATTTGACTTTCATATTGTGCAAACATCTTGTGATTGATTTTATGGCAATAGGGTTTTACAATGAAAAAGATTGTTATGAAATATGTTACTAAATATGGTGGCTGTAAATATTTGGGCAGTACGCATTGATCATATTCTACTAACACTTTCTGGCAGTGAATTTGTCTTCTATATAAAGATTTTTGGCAGTGTGGTATGCTTGTGATCCAGGTATACTTTTTGACAGTGTGTTATGTCCTATGTTTTGGCCAGTGTGCTATGTTGCACAATTTAACATAATGTTGCAGTGTATGCTGCTTACAAAGTCTTAAAATTTACAACATAATACCTTAATTATCGATTTTTTTCAGTACCACATAAATGAAATTCAACATATGTCTATTACTAACATCTTCTAACATTATGCAAAATCAAGAAAGACCAAAAAAGCCAAGCCCTTGTTTTGCCAGTGTCTTTTGGTGTAATAGATTATTCATCAAATCAGTCATACATTTTTGGGCAGTGTGAAATTCATAAATGAAAACAATCATATACATTTTTGGCAGTGTCAAATTCATACATGAAAATAGTGTGGAATTCATACATGAAAAGAGCTATACATTTTTTAGGCAGTGTGGAATTCATACATGAAAATAGTTATACATTTTTTGACAGTGTAGAATTAATACATGAAATCACTACCTCATAAATCAATGGACATTACAATACAACATGAAATTAAGAAACACAATAATACATTTACACATTTCCGTAAGATATAACAACATATATCCATTCTACACAGCCACATTAAAAACTCACATATAAAAAACCACACTGCCCACTACATAATTACGAGTGAACAACCACACTGCCCAAAACAATCATATTTTTTGGCAGTGCATAATGAACATTTGCTGTTTAACTAAAGGACAACATCGGAATCACAGGTACGAAACATATAGCACTGCTATTTAGAGTATTTTAATGATCTTAGAGTGCTATTTTGGTTTTTCTTCCTAGATATATCTAATGACTATAATGTTCATATAGGTCGTTTCTACGTTCATAAATCGTCATTTGGTTGAGTTTTGTGTTTGACATGTTTGAAAAAACTAAGAATCATAAACCATGAAATCGATGTTAAAACTACGAATTAATGATGCCAAAATGATCTATGAACCTTGGAAAACATCTCTATATAATTTCGATGAAGTTCGGTAACCAAAAATGGTATTTTCGAAATTGGACCCGAAGGTTGAAGAAGATGAATAGTACTCGAAAATATGCAGGGATGATCGATCCCGTGGGCATAAAAATTTTCTATCAATGATCGATCAAATGCACTGGATCGATCCCGCGAAATTCTGATCCGAAAATTTGTCTGAAAATGCTATTTTTGAGCTCTAAAATCCTATTTTTGATACCAATTAATTATGATCATTATAAATGATTTTTCACAATAAAAATGATATTTTTAACAAATTAAAACATTATGTGATGTATGACGATAAGTTTGGGTGTTAACACTCGAGACTAGGCTGCTATTTGTTATTAAACGTTATGTTGAATGATCATTATGATGAATAATTATTATAAATAATTATGAATGATAAACCCACTGATTAGAATGATTAGTGATGATTAAATCATGATTAAAAATGAATGTAATGGTTATCATGGTGAAAACGGTGTATATTGTTAAGGATATCTAGTAGAACTTTAAGATGTACCTCCTTGACCAATTCATAATTCGGGGTTAAAACGTACGTACGGGATCCAGAACGGATATCACCCACCCGACAGATCACTGTTCGATTTGGTACGTAATCCACAAGATTCATAGGGTGGATTATTGATTCTTGTGTTCTACATTAAACTATTTATAGTTTAAGGGTCTGGTTAGAAATATTGTCTTAGACTAGGAATAGCTAAGAACTTGTTATAAAATGATTTGGCCTTAGATTAAGAATAATTTAAGAGCAGTGTTGAGATATTGTCGAAATGACTTGGAATAAAATATTGAGAATATCATGAATGTTTGAATTATATGTTGTATGCATGATATCAAATGATTGATTATGAATTGAGATTCAATTTATGTGGATGTTCGACGCTTTAGATATGCTTACTCAGCTTCACCGCTGAGCATGTAGTGTGTTTTATTTGCTACACGCAGGTAGACAGAATGAATGATTGACATATTCCTGGAAGCAGAAGGGGTGAGACAGTCGTGGTGGATTTATTGACAAAATAAATAGTTATGTTTGTTTTGAGACATGTTTAAAAGTCGCTTCCACATTATTATTAAACACTCCGTATTTTATACAGTTATGTATGAAATTTTATTTATGATGAATAAAGTTATTTGAAATGTGTTAAATTTTACGAATACCAAGTTAATATTTTAGTCCAAAAGGGGCTGCAGGCTTCAATTATTATGCCCATTTTACGGTTCGGGCCTTAAAAATTTCTTAGTATAGCATATCGGCCTAGTGTGAAATCTAATCTGACTCGTACTTTGATCATGTCTAGGTTTATGTTATAACTTTCTACCTAACCACTTGTAGAAAGCAATAGAGAATACATGATATGATATGATTACACAAAATAAAAGAAACCACTTGCAAATAAAGAGCAACCAATAACATGACATTACACAAAACAACCAAAGAAAACTACGATTACACAATGTGCTCTTTCTCATAGGTAAAAGGGGAAAAAAACACCACAGAACGGGACACGATTTTGATGTTAAAATTTGTGAAAACAATAAAATCCATCGGCTCACATTTTAATGGCCTCCACAACAAGTCCGACACCTCTCGCTACTGCATGAACCAAATTTCACGGAGTTAAATTCATCAAGTAAAAATCGTTACATGTATGACTAATAATTTATCCTTATTTATCTCTCCATTTCTAAAAGTGTTATGGGTACACTAAAATTGGGTACACATGGCGAAAACAGACACATATAGACAGTCCATGTCTGCGTGTGCACAGAGTATAAAATTTGTCGGTTTTTGTTTTGATATACCCATAGCATTATTGAAATAATTGAATTAATTATAACCACCAACAATTTCCTTTTTCGATATTTGCTTCTTAATTACTCCCTTTGTCCCTAAATAAACTTTCTCTTTCGTTTTTTCTTTATCCCCAAATAAACTTTTCTTTTTCCTTAAAAAACCCCTTTTACCCCTTACTTTTTCATACCCTACCTATCACATCATACCTTTTTACTAATAATCTACCAATCACATCTTACTTTTACACATCACATCAAGGATATTTTGGGAAAGTCAGCACAAAAATATCCCTCCATTAAATCCTCAAAAAGTCAAAAATGAAAATTTATTTAGGGAGGGATGGAATATATACATGCTATATTTCATAGGGAGAAGAAAGAGATTTTGAGATAAAAACAAAAGGAGAAAAACTTTTTAAGGGAGGGAGTACATACCATGACATCTCCTCGCCATCTCTTCGGCCAAACTCATGCTTATGCTCCTTCATTATTTCCAATGGAGCAGAGTTCATGACGGGATAACCTTTTATTATTTCAAATCAAAAAAGAAATAAATAAATTGGTAACTTTATATTCTATGTTCAAAATATGTGTATATATATAGACACACACGTAGTATATATAATTATATTATAGAGAAATTTACTTAAATATCACTAAAACATAATGACTTTTTCTTAAACAGCACCACATGTGTTTTTCATCCCAATGTAGCACTTTTACTCATTATGCATTAGTCATTATTCAAGTTAATATTCGCCATCACATGACATTATGGACATTATTAAATGCTATTTAGAGAATAAAACAATTTAAATGCTGTTTAAAGAAATGACTTAAGTTTTAGTGCTATTTAGTGCAAATATTTCAATTATTTATTCTATGTTTAAAAAAAGTGTTGCAAATTAAACAAGCTAGTTATTTTACATTTCAGGGTGTGTTTGGTTGGGGGAAATACTTTCCAAGGAAAATTTATTTCAATTTTCTATGTTTCGTAAACTTAGTATGAGAGAAAAATGATTTCAGTTTGATTTCGAAAAAAGATTTCCACAATCTGTTTGCCCCATCCCCCATGTATGCCACCCCGTGCACCCAAAGACCACTTTTCCCCCGCCCCACTCCCTAACCGCCCCCCTACCACCCTCCCGAGCTACCTCGGTCCCACATACACTACCACCCTCATCCACCTCTACGCCACCACCCCACTCTTCACCTTCCTCCCCCCNGCCCACCCGCCCCCTATCCACCTTGCGTTTTGCACTATGGTACTAAAATATTGTTAAATCGTTTCAAAACATTATTTGTTAATATTAATTTTCAAATATTAATAATAGAAACTATTTTTTAAGAAAAACGTGATTAGAAAATAATTTTTCTTGAAAATCATTTTTTCTTGGAAAATATATTCTTCTAGGAAAATATTTCCCCCCAACCAAACACAACATTTCGATTTTAAAAAAAATGTAGAAATCTGCTGGGTATATATATACCTTGAGGAGACTCTTCAGACGGTTGGATGGTAGTCATGGCTTCCATTTTAATGATCATAAGGGCGGTAATCACTATAATTAGTTCTTGTGAACTCATTTTGTTTAACCAAATAGTATAATTATATTATACGTAGTATATGTTAATTGAATTGGTTATTGTAATATATTCACAACATCACATTATTGTACCCCCCATATATACGGAGCATTGGATGCAATATATATAACGTGCGCTTAACGGAGTTTAATTATTTATTTCCCTACTCGTAATATATACTCCGTAAAACGTAAGAAGTCTTATTTTCCTTCCATCTTATTTCGAACAATTCCGTAATGGGCCCGTTCTCTATACTACCTACTTTGTATGTATTGCGTCATTGCGTTCGATCTATCGCCCTACCTAGCTTCCTCCGCCCTCCTTTCTTCTCTTCTTTATTCAAATGCGTGAATTAATTTCTTATTCAATCGACCATCATTTTTGGGTTATAATATACTCCCTCCGTCACGGAAAACATGAGAGTTTTGATTTTGAAGAGAGATTTAAGGGAAGTGTATTTTGGTATTGAATTTCCAAAAATGTCTTTTGATATGATGGGTAAAAGTATGATTTGATGGATAGATTATTAGTAAAAAAGTATGATGTGATAGGTAGGGTATGAAAAAGTAATGGGTAAAAGTAACTTTTTAATAGAAATGAGAAGTGTTTTTTGGGACGGATGAAAAAAGAAAGGTGAAAGATTTTCAGAGACGGAGGGAGTATTAAAATTAAACACTCGTCTCACTTGGGTAATTGTCCATAATTATTTTAGGATAATAATTTTGTAGACCCTACCAAATTTACATATGAAGTTGTCCAGTTACAACCCAAAATTCTAAAAGTCATACGTAATCATGTTACTTCTCGTTTAAGAGAAAAATTTAATGTAATTTTTTTATGTATAAATTTTATTTTGATGTTTTATATCTTTATTTAATTAAATTAAATTTAAAATAAACTCAATCTAATCCCATTATTCGTGAGTACCTATATCGTATATCTGGATGTATATAAAAAGTTGTAAAATTACTAATTTGATGAAGCAATAACAATATGTAGGGTTGGGTTCAATTTTTCGATTTGACTTTAATTTTACGTAAAACCAAAAATCGAACGAAAGGTTAGAATTGATTCAATTTTATATATAAAAAAATGTATCGAGTACCCAACAAACATGCATCTAAAAGCTTCAAAATACTCCCAAAGATTTTGTACGTAACTATCAATTACAGAGAATTTGCGTTTTTGGTATAATACCTTCATTTCTATTATAGCATCAAAGTTTTTTCATGTAAATATACAAATTACGCGTATCGATTGTTAATGTTTATATAATTCCGTATTAGGATTAGTTATTGATGTTTATATTTATAGGTTTTTTAAAGTTTATAATATGGTTTAAAATGTTTAATAATTAAGAGAAATAAATTTAATCGACTAATCAATTATTTACATTTTTATTTTTATGATTTTTTTTCATATCACATATATTCATATAAATCAAGCGAAGTACTTAAGAAAGTTCGGCTTATTTGGTTCGGTTCGGTTTCGAAATAAAAACCAAAAAGGAAACCAAACAATAACGGTTCGGTTCGATTTTCTACATTCGATTTCAGTGTTTTTGGTTTGGTTTTGTTTCTAGCTTGTTTCGATTGATTCCGGTTCGATTTATGGTTTTTGGTTTTCCCAACCCAGTCAGCCTTAGGAATTATTGTGGTGTATTATTTGATTGTTTTTACAAATTTAAACATCAAAATTGTATCTTGTTACTGTGTACCCCGCATTTTTTTTTCCTTTGATCAATAGAAAAGAATAGTTTGTGTAATCACATCTTTCCTTTGTTTCGTGTAACATCATGCATTCATTGCTCTGTACAAGTTTTTTCTTTTGTTTTCTGTAATATCATCTATTTATTGCTCTCTACAAATGATTTCTCTTGTTTTGTGTTATGTCATGTTCTCTAAAAGTGATTTATATACTCCTTCCGTCCCATAAAACATTTCCTGTTTCAAAAATGGCACACCTTTAAAATGAGTAATTTTAGTGTTATTTTTTAATTATGACTAATCTATTCTACACATCGTATCCTACTCTTTTATAAAGTAAAGGTAAAATTAGAAAATAACACCAAAATTATTCATTTTAAGGGCATGCCTTTTTTGAAACAGGAAATGTTTTATGGGATGGAGGGAGTATGAATTTCTTGTTAGGTTGTGACCTATATCACATCAACTAGATATTGAATGAAAGTGGTTTGTCAATCTCGTAAGGAGTTGTCGTCCCTTAGACCCTCTTAGCCGTCTTAGGAGATATTACATAATCCCTCCGTTTCACAAAATCTTTTTTCTTTCTTTTTTCATTCGACCCAAAAAAAATTCTCATTTCTATTAAAAAGTCACTTTTACTCCTATTAATATTTAACTTAACTATCACATCACATTTTTTCACCATTAGCCAAACCATCACATTCACTTTTAAACATCACATACAAGGGCATTTTTGGAAAGTCAGCACTAAAATGCACTTTTTTTAAATCCTTTAAAAGTCAAGACTAGAATAATTTTTTGGGACGAAGGGTACAAGTTTATCAAACTCCCTCGTTTCCTTATTATAGAGTACTTTACCCCCTTTCGTTCTCGGAACTTCTTTAATTTTGAAGAGTACTTCACATATTTTCTCTTTTAGAAATTTTCTTTCTCATCAACTTTTCTATCAATTTTTTTCCTTTACTTTTACATCAATTTAACTCATTTCTCTCTCCTCATTAACATAAATTCGACTGAGAATTACCCAAAGAAGAATTTTACTAAAATATAATGAAATTTTTAATTGTGCGTAGTACCATATGTTTTAATTTTTTAATGTAGTATCACCGAACATTGTTCAAGTAAATATTGACCGTTACTGGACATTGTTCAAAGTAAATGTCCACCACCAGTGGATATTGTTCCGGCCACTGCACATTGTTTAAGTACTCTTTAGGAAATAGAAAGTTTTATGTACGACGTACATTGGGAAAAGACATATTAATTTCCTCCTATAAAACTCTTCAACTTTCACATCTTGCTTGCCTCGTAAAATATTTCAATTTGAGCTAAATGAACATAATTGTCTTTACTTTTCTTAAATCCAACCGGACATACCTCAACTACCTTCTACTCCCTCCTTTCCAACTACATATATTAGTTTATCAAATGACTAACAAAAATAGAGAAAAAAAGAATAAAGTTTGACCCTGTGAATAGCAAACAAATAATTTAATTTCGAACGGAGGGAGTACGTTCTGTCCACTTTGATATTTCTTGAGCCCTACTCTTTTCAATTGTCGTTGTTTTACCTTGGTCAATCTTTTATAGTTTCTTCTCCCAAAAGTCAAAATAGGAAATATTTTGCAAGAAGAAAGTAGGGGTGTAAACGGATATTAATCGGATCGGATGTGTCATTACCAAATCCGTATCCGTTTATTTTTGTCGGATATCGAATTCGGATACGAATCTTGATGGATACTGAAAATCAAAACTGTATCCGCATCCGTCGGATATATCCGTATCTGTTTCCAATTTTTAAAATCAAATTAAACAATACTTTAATTTTAAATTAGATTAAAGTCGAACTATTATTAAATCAACTATAATTTGTTATGGGATAATTATTTTCTTTGTTTCCATGGTTTATGATATTCTACGATAACTGTTATGCGGAATTCGAGAATAACAAAATATAAACGAGAAAAAAACGACAACAGATTTAATGTAGTTCACCAACATTGTGTTGGCTACATCCACAGGAAGAGGGGGAGCAGTTTTATTACGGACGGAGAGGCAAAAAATAGAATACAACATAGGGTTTGTGGTAGGGGTGGATTCGGTTTTGGCGGTCCGGTTTTTACCCAAAACCAAAGACAAAACGGAAGGTAAGTTGGCGGTTCGGTTCGGGTCGGTTTTGCATGAAAAATATGTAAACCGTTGGTTATTCGGTTCGGTTTTATGCGGTTTTTATCTTGATTTTTTCGGTTTTTTCGGTTTATAAAAGTAAATATTTATAAGCATTAAAAATTGTATAAATACTAACTTGACAAAGCAATAACAATACGTAAGTTTGGGTTTGTTTTTTTTTTGCTTGATTTTTACACACAAAAAAAGCCGAGCAGAAGGTTAGTGTTCTCATTGGTTCAATTTTATATACAAAATATGTGTCAAGTGCCTAACAAACATCTAGAAGATTCTAAATAATCTTAAAGATATCGTATGTAAAATCAATTGCAGAGAATTGGATTTTTTTATATAATACTTTCATTTTCATTATAACATCAAAGTTTTTTATATTTAAATATGTTAACTACTCATTTTAATTTTTAATGTTATATAATTCTATATTAGGATTAGTTATTGGTGTTTATATTCTTAGATTTTTTAAAGTTTATAATATGGTTAAAATGTTTAATTAATAGTTAAGAAAAAAACTTTATTTGGCTAGTAATTTATTTGCATTTTTGTTTATATGATTTTTATACATATCACATATACTCATATAAATAAAATGAAGCATACAAATAACTTCGGTTTATTCGGTTCGGTTCGGTTTTTCAAAGTAAAAACCAAAACGGAACCAAACAATAACGGTTCGGTTCGGTTTTTTTACATTTGGTTTCGGTTTTTTCGGTTTGGTTTTTTTTCTAGCTCGTTTCGATCGATTTCGGTTCGGTTTTCGGTTTTCGGTTTTACCGACCCAGCCCTAGTTTGTGGTAGCACCCATATACACAATGCATTACAATAATAACTTCATATGATAAAAAGATATACACATCACACATATACACATATTTTCATATGTCTGCACATATATTTATGTGTCTACACATTTATTTTGCATATAAAAATGTCTTATACTTTGAAATATCAATAGAGAAACAAAATATCAACATAAAAAAATTAGGAAAAACTATATATAACGGATCGAATATTCGGATAAACGGTTATTTAAACGATGAATATTCAGATTGGATTTTAAATGGATCGGATATACAATAACCAAATCCGTATCCGTTTGGTAATCGGATACGGATAATATCCGTTTAAAATGGATGCGGATATTTCCTCTTTAAATGGATACGGATGCAGACGGTAATCGGATTTTCGGCTATCCGTTGACAACCCTAGGAAGATGTATGTTTTAGCATTATTAAGTGCAAATTTCACTTATCCAAAAGTCAAAACCAAAGTCATACATTAGAATGTGACCAGGAGAAAGATCTCATTAGAATGTAAACCGAAGAAAGATCTTATTAGAATGTGAATAAGAGAGAGATCTCATTAGAAAGTGAACTAGAGAAAGATCTCAATTTATTCTCAAGCATAGAAGAACACTACATTAAAAAAACTACGACGTTTTTACACTACGAGGAAACTACACTTACATATAGAAGTAAAAGCCGACAAATGTGATTCCAGTGAAATTTTGGAAGTCTATGGGCATCAGTGGATTTTCACATAATTTTGGAAGCATTCTAGAAAAAAAATATTGATAATATGATGTAGAGAATTATGGAGATGTAACGTTCATTTGCTGCCATATACCAATAACCAATGAGTAGATTATTTGCAAAACCTTTTTCCCAATGGACATATTTTGCTGGTTTCTTGCCCTAATACAAATCACAATTCCTCTACTGCAATCATCTACTGTTATTAAATTAAATTAATACAAGTACATATTGCACAGCCATAGTGTCAAAAAAAACCCAACCACTGTAAAACCAGCCAGCCAAACAGCTCCTAATGCCCCCCACTGTACATAACTGCCCACAGCTCCTTTGTCTTCTTCAACGTAGTATTGTTTTGTTTATTTCTGTACACAACATTGCTATACAAATCCTTGTTCTGCCACATCAGCCTGTGGGACCATCAGGAGGGAGAGGTGGTTTTAGATTCTCATGGGTTGGTGGCTGCGGCGGCAGAGCAGTGAATGCGGGTTCAAGGGTCTCGTTCACGCTCTTTGTTGCCCTTTTCACCCTTTTTGGCGGTCTCTGTTGGTTAATGATCTCATTTGTAGACGGATGACGGTCTCCATCCATTTCATCATCATCATCATCATCATCATAGTCTTTCACTATTGCCGTCATGGAGGCGGGAGAAGAAGAAGGATAACCTGCAACATTCTTCGGAGCCTTTTGAGGCTTTGCTGGCGGTGGCGCTTGCTTGTCAGTCGTGGATGATGGTTTCCTCTGTCCATATTTAAACTAAATTAAATGTGGAAATTAGTTTGGAGGGGAAAATAACCCAAGAAAATATTCACCTTTTTACTTGATTTTCCTTTGTTAGGAGGGTCAGCAGTGGCGGAATCGTCTTTACCCATCGCTGTTGTAAGATCTTCCAAAAACACACCTCCATCTGCATCGACCCTTATGCCCTTATTAGTTCCACCTTTCTTCTTCTGTCTCTCCTTAGCCTAACAAGAATGAAACATAAATTTTTAATTACAGTATCAAGAGTTCAAAATAAACAGGCTAAGATAAAGACAATAAAAGAAAGAACGTGTGGGGTTCTCACTCTCACCCACCTGAAGAGGAATTTCTTTTAGTTTCTGCTCAAGTTGGGCATCATCAAGCAGCAAAGAGACCACGTCTTCTGGGGCCATAAGGTCGCCCTGAACGTGTTCTCCTGTCATCACCAGCTGTTGAACTGTGTTTTTTTGACTCGCTCTCACCAATATCTTTTCTTCAACTGTCTCTTTACAAATTAAGCGATAAACTGTAACCTGCAGTATGAGTATTTCCTCTTTAATCAAATCAAAGGGAAAATGGCATTTTATGTTGGGTTCTACCTTGGAAAATATGAAAGAAAATCAAGTTTGATGACATTTTCTGCTCTTTTTAAACTCCCTTAGGCCTAAAAAGATTTTCCCACTTTGACTTCACAAAGATTAAGGTTGAAAAGATGTTGAACAGTGAAAAGTGAGTGGTTAGAATTTGCTTAGAAGAGAAGTATTTGGGACCACATATTGCTTTCCAAAACGGGAAAGAGAAAAGGCGGAAATTTTTCTTGGGACATCTCGAAATCGAAAGTAGGAAATCTATTGGAAAAATAATACGGTGTACCATAAATTAAAAGGAGAGAATATATGTTATACGTAAAAATGCATGTATAGCTAATAGCTAATACTACATAAACCATAAAAGGAGAGAGAGAGAGAGAGGGGGGGGGGTACTTCTTTAGTTTGACCAAGCCTATGAGCTCTGTCCATTGCCTGAAGATCAAGAGTGGGATTCCAGTCACTTTCATAAAATATGACTGTGTCAGCAGCTGTCAAGTTTATTCCCAGTCCACCAGCTCTAGTACTTAGCAGGAACACAAATATATCACTCCTACAAGAAAGAAGAGTTAAATAGTCAGTATCAACAAATATACTCCTAGGGCCTGTTTGGGTGTCGAGTCTTTTGGAAGAGTTTGGAGGGGAAGACTTTTGAGGGCTTTGTTTATAGTATTTTGATAAAGTGTGTTGATTTAAAAAGCAAATAAAAGGTGATTGGAATGTTATACAGTGCAATCATATATAATGCTAGTCTTTCTTCTTTTTTTAATCAAATCTCGATTATACATCAAGATATTGACTATGCCTTCTAAATACTTCCCCTTCGAAACCACTTCATCTACACAGATCCCCTCAAGAAAATAACTGTTATACTTCACACCTACCGATGTTGGAAATCTCTAACCATGTCTCGACGATCCATTATAGTGGAGGATCCATCAAGCCTTAGATATTTATATTTTCTGTAGTTCATGTAGTCCTGTCACAATATGATCATTATCAAAATTTAGCTCAGATGGACTTTCTTTTTTCAAAAATTTAATTAAAAAAAAACACTTTCTATCTTCACTTAAGCATCTCAATATATCTAGTAACATCACAAGTGCATCCTTATTTTAAACTTTTTTTGCAAATTACATATCTTTCTAGAATAAGAGTTACTCATCCTTTACATATAAATGGTAACAGTAAAAGAAACTCATCCTGCATGAAAAAAAGGAAAATACGCACACATATGCAAACACAGACACACACAAGAGAAAAACTATATGGCTTTAGACGAGACTGAAGGGAGGATAAAATAAAATTAAAGTTTGGCTATGAATTAAAAATTATGGTATATAGAGCTACGTTGAAACAAAAGATAAAGACAAAAATGTGAAAACAAGCGTAAAACAAGTAAAGGCAATTTTATACTCCGTATTAAGTTTAAAATAAAGGGGGGGGGGGGGGAATAAGAGTAAGGATACAAGAAAAGAACGTTGACAGTAAACATGATCAAAACAAGGTATACAAGTACAGAGTCATGCATGAAATTTCTGGCAGCTGTGCTAACATTATCATGAAGTTGTGATCAGATAACCCTAAACTGCTGTCTAGAGCATGGAATATAAAATACCTCTAGAATGTTCAACATTTTTGTCATTTGTGCAAAGAGAAGAACTCTATGGTTTTGAGCACGCAATCGTTTCAATAATATGTCGAGTGTTTGCAGCTTCCCTGAGTCCTGAAAACACAGCTCTAGATTAAATATTATAATTAGAAGAGAGAGATAAGACGTCATAAAGAAGACATATACCGTGAGCATCTTTGCAGGATCAAATGGCTGCATGGGAGGACATGACCCAAAAATTTTGTATGTAAGCTTAAGGGCAGGTAATGACACAGGAAGTTCTGAGTCAATCTCCTGTATCAATGGGTGTGAGACACCTGGTTTCCGAGGACCATTACAGTCAGAGGTGCGTGCAAATCCCACAAATAACCTCTTAATCCATGGATTATGCAGTTCTTCAACCATTTTGTACGCAAAATTCCGGTCTGAGCAAATTGCATTTATCTACAAAAGGAGAGTGGGGGTTTTTGTGATCCATTATTTTTTTTGCATGTTAGGCAGAAAGTCAATGAGGAAGCAAATAAACTATGACTTACTGGAGGTGCTCTTGCTCTTGGTATAAAAGAATATATGGAACGTAGAAAATCAATACTAGACAATAGCCTATCCTGGTAAGGCATGACTAAAGCCTCAAATGGAGCATCGCCAGAACCAACTTCTAATCTCCTCTTCAATAAAGTTGCCTCCGGCTTTGATGGCAAAAGTAACATTCGTGTGACAACTCTCACTTTGTCCTGTCCAATGTGACTGATGGAGGGTTCGACATCGTTGCTCTCCATCAGGTCCAACATCTCATCCAAAAATAGCCTATCCCATTTAACTATAGAAAACAATAACCTTTCCAGGAAAGAACTAGTTGCCAAAAATGATGTCTCCATAGGTGACAGATCAACCATGCGAGTAAACCCAAATGTTCCACTTTGAACATGATAATCTTCGCCCTTCTGAGTTGGTCTGAGTACAGAATAATGGATATTCTCAGGAGAGAATATGTTGAAATATTTTTCAAATAATTCTCTGGTCATACCATGTCCCAACATATTTGAATCCTGGATTTCTTGGAAGACCATTTTTGGCATCTGAAAATGATCAAGGGAAAAATGAATTATACAAAGATATCAGCATCCGCAGCCTGCAGATACCTACTTGTGGAAATAGGAACAATATAGACCCCTTGAGGAACAACATAAAACCTCTTCACAATTGGGGATATCATTGCACACCCACATTGTGAGTGTGCCTTAAACATGGTTTATGGACTCACAGTATCACCAGTTTTTCTTGGTGATTCCCGGAGCATTTAACAAAAACACTCAATTTTGTTTCATGTTCTAAACACAATATGACTCACAATATCACCATTTTTTTCTTGATGATTCTCAGAGTATTTAGCAAAAACTCAACTTTTTTTGATGTTTTAAGTATACTATGAAAGATTGAAATGGTTCCCCTTTCCCCACAGTATGTACTACTTCATCAGTCCCACAAAAATGTTCCGCGTTAGACTAGGCACGAAGATTAAGAAAGAGTAAATTCCATAAATGGTTCCTAATTACAGGTGGTTTTCCATATTTATTCCCTAATTCTAAGATATTACATAAATGGTACTCAATTTTTGAAAACTATTCCAAAATCGGTCCTTCATGCACTATATTTGGAAAAAATATTTTATCATATTTGGCGTAAAAGACTATTTTTAAAATTTATGGATCATATAAATACCTGGTATGTAACAGGACTTCCTTCACCGGAACAATATACATCCTCCAGTTCCCCAAATGGAGGAGGAGGAAGTGAATTTGGAATCTGCCCAAAATAGAAATAAGTGCTTCCCTCATTTCTCTCAAACAACTCCGGATGGTTACAAACCTGACCTTGCGAATTGGAAAGGTCGCATTTAGCATTTGGCATACAACTTCAATACATGTAACATGCTGTAATCCACATATGTGCAAAAGGGAAAAAGACAGCAAGCTAGAGAAAAAACACATTACCTTCCTCAACTGGATGACAATATTCATTAGGTTCATTATTTTTTTCTCGTTAAGATGACCACGGCTGCTATCAAACAACTCCGAAATGGATATCTTGTTCTTTATAGCTTGATAGAATGCCTGCTGTCGCGAACTCAACTTGCAATGCACTGTTACTTCAGTTTTGCCAGTTAACTCAGAGACTACATCCTTTTTTACCCGTCGCAACATGAATGGCTTAAGAATTGCATGCTGTTCCAAAATATTTGGTGTGGGGGGTCATAAATCAAAATGTGAACAAGAGAAAGATCTCAAGCACAAAAGTACACTGCCTTAACAAACTTACACTACAAGGAAATTACACTTATATATTACTATATCATGTCAAATACATATAAAATTATAAATATAAAACTTCAGGAATAACATAAGTATTCGGCCAGCAAATACATTTGAGATTTAACCAACAGTAGCAAGCTTGATATCCCCTAACAATTGCCAAGCAAGAAGTATTAATATTTTTCTGGGCAGCAACCACTAAAATATCACTAAAAAATGGGAGCAATATACAAAAAGACGTCTGAGAAGAAATTTGCTAGATTAATCTGAGCCATACTTTTCATTTTAAAAGTCCAACCATTTTATCAGTTAAAACATATACTGCTACTTGGGCATACATGTGATGTGAATTTCTGCTTTTAAACGTCACACAATATGTGAGTGACATGCACATTAAAAGACATACTCCCTCTATCCCGCAAAAAAAAATCATACTTCCTTGTCTATCAGTGCCAAAATAAAGTTCACACTTCTCTCACTTCCTTTCAAGGAAAGGAATATGTGAGCTGGGAGTTGCTTGGGAAGGGTGAGATGGGAGTTGCTGCTTTTAATATACAATTTTTTAGTTTTAATCCATACAAAATTACAAGTTTTGCATCTAAAAGCATTTGACTAATGGAAAACCTGCTTCTGATAAGATAAAGGTATCAAGAATAGCCAACATATATGAAGTAACATTGAGGCCATGAAACATATAGACATTTAAAGAAAGCTTACCAATCTATTCAGCTGATGTTCATTCAAGGTTCCACCATGCTCGGCATGGTTCTCGATTCTGATTACAAAGAACACATAGTAATGAGAAAAACTTGTATACTATAGTATTGTACTTGAGTAAAAACTCAAAAAAACTTGCATAAAACGCTTACCCTTTCGAAAACCACTCATTGAATTGTTCATGACTGTCAAATAAAGTGGGCATAATGAAATGCAGGAGAGCCCATAGCTCAGCCATGTTGTTTTGGATTGGAGTACCAGTCAAAAGCAAGCGGTTTCGACAATTGAAACTCAGTAATGTCTTCCATCTTATACTGTTGATTGAAAGTAATATACAATACAGAGATAAAATACACATTAAGTCCTTGCAGCTACTGGAATAGAAGGAAGACATTTATTAATCTACAAAAAGACATATTCTTCCTCCATACCAAAATAAAATACAGCGTTCAGTTTAAGATGGTTGACAAATTTTATTTTTAATTCAATATGTAAAATTGGTGTAAAAATCAAAAAATAAAATTTAATGTGTATATTTAAAAAATTACAAAGGTTCTAAAAACAAGAGGTGACATGACTATATTTTCTTTGTCAAATTATCGATGAAAATATGTTTAAAAAAAAGAAGAAGAATTAATTTGACAATGTGAATAGTAATTGTGTCTTATATTTTGGGATGGAAGGAGTAATAAAATGTGAAAATCACCCATATAGATATGGTCTCACTTGAACATAGCATGGCTAAAACTAAAAACACAAGTCACTGACAGAATATCAAAATTACAAATACTTTCCTATAGTGTGAAGAAGGGTATTGGAAAATAAAACAAAAAATACCGAGTAGAACACTTTACAAGAGGTTATTAACAAGGTTCCTTTTTTATCTCTAATTCAAAAAAACATCATTACAATTTCTACATGGTATGTTTAGAGGGTTTTTCAAAAAGAAAAGATGCCGAATTTTGTGTTTTGAAAAATAATTGTCAGCTGGAAATAAGCCCATGTCTAAGTTCTTTCATTTGTAAAAGCTTTCAAACTTATGATGTTAAACTGTTCAATAATCGGAAATCATGTTGGGAGTAGACTGCGGAACCTGGTTGAGCTTTTAATTGCCTGGGCTTCGTCCAACACCATATATTGCCATTTAACACGACGAAAGTATTTCTCATCAGAAACTAGAAGTTGATAACTAGTGATGAGGATGTGGAATCCAGCATCCCTGGCAAGAAACGGCAATAACATCATTAAAGAACATTATAATGAGTGACACAGATACGATGTAAATATATCAAGTGACTCTATTTCCAACTACTGAAATCCATCAGAAATCAGTATATAAACATGCAATGCACTTACACATGTCAGTTATTCAAGTACTGCATTCCAATTTTCCAGTTATTAAAATACAAAGTAGGAACTAAGAAGTATTTAAGTGTCATGTCCACATCCAATGGAGCTAAAGAAATTGTAATTCACAGTGTTTTTAAAATCGACAGTGTTTTAGCTTTGGTAAATAATGCACTAAAACCAAATGGCACTTTAAACTTTGTTTGCTTCTTACTCTCAAAGAAGATTAGATAGTAAATATAGCTATGGATCGAGGGTCAAATGAAAACAGAGGTTAAGTAAATCTTTACCCCTAGACCCAACTCAGTTGGGATTATACAAGACTGTTTTGTTTTTGAACTATTTAAATGACATAACAAGCAAATGTATGCCGTTTGGTATCCTGTAGTAACAAAAATACAGCCCATAATGTGAATGAGGTTTACCGTCGATAAAGGCGCTTGGGGTTAATATTCTTCCTAAGCACTGTCCTCTCTTGCAGCCCACCCCAATATGGAAGTGTTTTTAGATCAGGACAGAAACGACCTATCTCATCGGCCCAGTTGTTCAGGACAGAAGCAGGAGCAACCACCAAAAATGGACCCCATATATTCTTTTCCTGTAGACAAAGTCATTAGTAACTGACGGGCAATTCATTGGCATGAATTATTTATCAAGTGAAAAGCTTACTTCTGCCAAGTGAGCCAAGAATGCCATTGCTTGAATAGTCTTCCCAAGACCCATTTCATCAGCAAGAATGCCATTTAAACCCTGATACAGAACTGAACTAGCTAAGTCAACAGTGATGAAACATAGAGGGAAATTTAGTGTGACAGATGATACCTGTTCGTAACAATTAACAAGCCATTGAAGACCTTTCAGCTGATATTCTTTTAGGGTGCCTTTGAATAATTCCGGTGTTTGCACTGTGGATGCTACAGGCATTGTGGACCTGAGAGCAAGATGATCTCAATGTGCTGGGATTTAAAAAAGAAATTTACAAACAATATCAAGTTCTACTGACACGAAATCGCTATATGGAGAGGTCCTCAAACTTACGGGTGCAATAAGTCAATGTTAGTAGAACCAGAAACTGAGGCATCTGGTTGGAAGTTCTCAGTTTCAGAAGCTTGCCGCAGCTTCAAGATTTCACTATCAAATGCACTTGTCATCATTTTCTGCTTAGAGACGGCATTTTGAGCAGCTTTTAGAGCCTCCATTCTCAACTCAGCCTCTTCAGGGTCTTCCTCTCCGGGCTGAGCTTCAGCAGAAGTCAACAGCACTTCTTTGTCATCTGCTCTCTCATCGGTGTCGGCTTGTGAAGTCGGTTTGTTCTGCATGAAGTGACTGTAAAGTTCAGTCTGTGACAGCAGAAAGTTAAGCCTTTGTTGTTGCCTCCTTGCTTCACGAAGCTCCTGTTCCCGTTTCAAAGCTTCTGCAGCTTCTTTTTCCTCCCTCTTCCTTACTTCAGCCTACAAGATGAGATCATTTTAATTTCAGAAAAGCTCATTACTACTTGCTACATAATAAAATACAAGAGAAACCCATTGCAAGGATCCCTTAAGCAAGTGTGCTTTAAGCCTAGAAGTGATTTGTGCATAAGAGGTAGCATCAAATGAAATTGAACAAGTAGGCGAAGTATAGAAGGTACCATCTCCTTGTCAACTTTCTTCCAAAATACCAACATGTCCCTCGTGAGTTTCCTAGTACGTATTCCAGCCCCTCTCATTAGCTTAAGAGATCTGCCGACCTTCAATTTTACCTGGAAAAAGAAGCCTTCTGACTCAAAGGTAGACACTAAAAGCAAACTGAATGTTGGGCACCATATACATTTTAAACAGAACTTTTTTAAAATGTCATGGGAATTAAGATCATCCCAACAAAAAGATTAGTTGCACTTACCTCTCTTTGACATGTTTCTGCAAACCTCTTGGCATCAATGAACTGCTTTTTGTGAAAATTAGTGAAGTGCCTGTGATGTTTTGATATGTCTTTCCTAACCATATTCACCCAATATTTTTCAATCTTCTCCATCTCTTCCTTCTCAATCATGGCAGGGTCTTTCTCCACCTTTGGCTTTTTGGGCAAAGCACGTTCAATAATCTGTCCAGAGTCCAGACATCCCCATACAAATTAGTCACAAAATCAATGCCATTCTTCTTTCTTATTAAAGAAAACAATGTTAACACCCCCAAAAAAACTTACTTCATATGTGTCTCCTTTCTCCAGCACCTTAACATAGTAAATCTGCAAAACACCACCCTCGGACAAGATAGAACGCCGTATTGACCCAGCTGCCCCCTCGGGAATAGAAGATGCCTCCAATGCAGCTTTACTGACTTTAAGAGTGAATTTTGTGTTTGAGCTATCACTCAACTGAGATTTAAGTCTTGCCTGTAAAGATCCATACTGGGGTATAGGATCACCCATTCCTCTATGGATTCTAGGACCAAGCCTCTTATCCGAAATCATCATTGCATCCAAAGTCTCCAAATCAAGAGTTCCCTGAAGGTAAATTTCATCAACTTGGATATCTAATACACTAGGCAAGCTCAATGCAGCAGCCAGCTTTTCATAAGGAGGGGGGATGCTATAAATCTTTCCTCCTCCCATTTCCAAAAAAGCAGGCTCATAATTTGATCTGTTAAAAGTCAATGTGTTAGACTGGGAAGGATATAAATGTTAAAAATTCACTAAACAAAATTCTGGCACCACAATTAAACAAGAAATGTAGGGGAGAAGAACCTATCAACCACAAACTTTGGTACGTCAGATTGGAGATGGTTTCCTGGCTTTTGTGAATTACTTTTGCTTTGAAACTCTGGTGCAGAGTCAACTTTAAACAAACGTCCTCGATGATCACTTTTTAGTTCCAGATCCTTCGGACCAAAACTGTTTTTTACACTAGGCATCACACTCCGTGTTGATGTGGAATTTGGTGTGGATGTACCAAGTCTCCTCTTATATTTATGAATGTGCTCTCCCAGCATTGATCTGTACTTTTCCTCTGAGATATATGTAGTCCTATTAGTTCTGTATTCGTCCTCTTCACTACTATATGCAATCCGCCTCTTCTTCTTCAACTCCCGCCCAGAGACCATCCCATTATTTTGTTCCCCTACCACACCTATTAACAATCAACATGAGACACGCCCAATGAAAAATCACCAATTCCATCTTGGCAAATCATTAACTATAGCAAATAAAATATTTCCAACTAGTGAAGTTAACTCCACAGAGTTAATGAACGAGTAGGGAAGTTTTGAAGAAGTGAATCCTAAATCATACAGTTTGAGGCAATTAACACAAGAACGACTTGATTTTTTTAGCATTTGAGTGAGCACCTTGGCTAGCTCTACTCTCATCCTGGCTACTCTTTTCATAGTAATCAAAATCATCATCATCGCCCCGTGGAAGCTGAAAGTTCACCAGAGACTATAGAAAACAAAAACAGCAATTAAAAATTTTAAGTGTACAAGAAATGCGGGAAACTTTACAGTTCTTAGCAATCTTCAAGTCATCATCACTAACCAGAAAGGCTCTAATTCGTCTCAATCCTACCCAACTGAATGTATAGAACATCCAATTTAAATTCATGAAAAAATAGTAAACTAAAAGGGAAAAAACAAGTTTGAAAACAGGAAAACTAATATTAAAAGCATTAAAAATTAACTTTAAAAAAAATCATCTCAGCACATCTACAAAGCTGCAACGAGTAAAGGTAACCCATTAAACATAAGGAAATCATCACTCCGCATACCTCAAGATTGAACAAATTGGAGTAGGAAAGACGATTCTTTGCATCCATTAACTACAGTCTCCGGCGAGAGGAAAGCATCAGGGACGAAAACATGAATGGCGTAAACTCGATTAGGCTGGGAGAATAGCCGGAAGCCGATGGGGAAAAAGTGAAGACGAATGAAAGGCCGGCGAACCCTAACCCTAGACAGGGAAATAGTAAAGGGATAATGGGGAAGAAGGGCGTAGGGGGAGAAAGAAAGGGGAAGATGCGTGGGCAGAATTGAGAAGGGCATGGATGGGCGCTAACGTGAGCCGGGAGTGGGGTGGGATGGTATCGGCTAACGTGCGCTTCTCTTGATCAAGCTTTTCTTTGTGCCGTTCTGCTTCAGGCTTTCAGCACTCCGAAAAACAATTTTGTTTTGTTCTTTTTTTCTTTTGGTAATGGTAACGGCTATGTTATGTAGCCTATATGTGTGTTTAGGAAAGTGGCAAAGAATTTAGAACATTTTCTAAATTGGTGCTGATCTAAATTTATTAATCTAATTTTATCATATTGTTTGCAATGCAATTTAAATCTTTCTAGCTTGATATGATCTCACTAGGGGTGTTCATTCGGTAAAACCGTACCGAACCGAACCGAAATTTCGGTAAACCGAAAATTCGGTGATATTATATTCGTACCGAATACCGAACCGTATTCAATCGGTTCGGTACGGTTAATACCGAAATTATTTCGATTTGGTATTCGGTAATACCGAAAAAACCAAAAATTTCATTTTTTTTCATTTATACTTCACTTTTGTTTTTATTTTCAATTTGTACCACAAGCAATCTCATTCAACATTTAAAGAAATTAGAAATACTTTATATTTTTTAGCTATAGTTAGTCATAAATTACTTAGTTTTTCATATTATTAAAAGATTATCGAAGCACATGATTTTGATCTTATAAAAAAACCGAAATATAAAAAAGAAATAAAAAATGTTTAAAAGATCTTACCTTTAGTCATCGATAATTTATTGCCTACGAAGTGAGGTCAATGTATTGATCATTTAGAATAAATGAAACAAAAAAATTGAAGAAGAAAGAGTCAAATAGTAAGCATGAGAAAATTTAGCTAGATATGAAGTATTTTTTTAAAAATTGAAATTGTGAATAAAAGGAAAGATGAAATAAGGTAGACCACTATATGAATTGCTAGGACTCAAGGTTAGAATTCAAACTTCAAAATATTTAAAATAATAAAATGAAGTAATAATTTGGTATTTGGTAAAAACCGAATTACCGAATTATTGGTGCAAACCGAACTGAAAACTGAATTTTAGCAAAAAGAAAAACCGAATACCGAACCAAATTATTCGGTTTGGTTTCGGTACGTACCGAATTTTTCGGTTTCGGGACGGTTCGGTCGGTTTACCGAATTGTGCACACCCCTAGATCTCACTTCAATTGGAGTATTACTTCTATTTTAGAGATAAAGATTGTGTGTTGCTCATCGAGTGGTGATTTCTTTATTTGATTTGGTTTAATACTTTGAATCTCTTTAATTTGATTTGATATTTTCAAATTTGATCTTATTTTAATAAGAATAAATAATATGAAATTAGTAATAAAAATAAATTGAAAAATAAGCTCTTAAAATTCTCACCATCGTTAGAAATTTTTACATCAGTGGATCTTTTTTGGTTCTCAATACTTAATTTTAGGATTTTCATAAAGGTGTACACATCAAAAGTTTTATTTTAAACTCTATGTGAGAAAAGAAATTCAAATAGAGTGAGAGAGTAGATGTAAGGAGAGATTTCCTCCATTGAGAAACCATTGGGGAAAAAAATTGCATATCAAATTTGATAATGTGAAAGAGAGAAAAATATAGAGAGATAATGTTGAGGATTTTTTTTCTTATCATTGTGAGTGGTCTTAGCCTCGCTATTTGTGAAGGTGGAAATGTAGAGTAGATGGGTTTATATGTATGTAAAATCACTGTTTTTTCTACATTAGGTCATAACTTGCATTGGACTAATCTTACTATACACTTCTAAGAGTCACGTCTCAAAAACCTAGAAGAGGTAAATTTGGACTCTTTCGTCCCTCATGTATATATGTATACGAAGCATGTACACTTTTACGTATAAGGAGTCATCATATATTGATTGGTCAAGATCTAATTGATTTTTATGATTTCTCCCTTACTTAACATCTCATTCTTAGTAAATTCAAACTCTCACAATGCCCCTAGAAATGAGACATATATAATTAATCTGACCGAAGAGCTAATCTAAAATGCTAGAGATATATTGATGCAAAAATCATTCATCTTGCATCTACGATAACTTGAATATATCGTCACAAAGTCACAATTACTATTCTAGACTCTCGATAACATTTGTTTACACGTTGTCGATTACCATTTGATAAAATAAAATACTCACATCTTATCTTGTTTTATATAATTTTTAATGTAGCTTTTAAAAGTGTAATTTTATATTTTTTATTTCTATACCACTTTTAAAATAAAATACTCCGTAATTTTTAAAAAGATGATATTTTACATATTGTTCGAAACGAAAATTCTGGGACAGAGAGAATATTAGAAATTAATGGAGTCTAGAAGGCTAGATGTTTAATAATAAATTTTTAGAAATTAATATAAACCTAGTTGTATTCAATAAGGATTTTAAAAAAATTGTTAATTTTTTTAAGGAAAAAAGTAGTTAGAAATTTCATAAAAGTTTATAAGTATTTAATTCGGATTCAGAAAATCAATACATATTATGGAGAAGTATAAGGTTAGACCGGTTGTATCAGAAGTAAGGTACGATTGGGTAGTACTCATTCTGAAGTGGTAAGTAGTACTCATTCTCGCATCAACATATGTATACATTTTGAAATAGCATGGTACTCATTCTGAAATAACGTAGTACTCATTTTCACACATTTATTTAATACAATTATAATAGTCATCTATGAATAACGTAGTGTTTATTTTGAAATAAAGTGATACTCATTCTTAGATAAAGTAGTGCTCATTCTTAACTAACATACCGTTAATTCCAAATTTGTGAGTTTGGAATCTGGAACCATTCTTCATCTTCTTCGCTATTCTTCATCTTCTTCACTGAAACGCTAGGCGATCCTAGAGTTTCTACATCTACTACTTCCCCCATCATTTTGTTCGCTGGAAGCCGCCTAGGTTTTTGCAAGTTTTAGCCGCCATCACCTATAATTTGCGATCTCGTATACAATCACTTTTGCCACCATCACCATCTGCTCCTGGAAACCTTCGGTGAGCTCCTTGCGATCTCCAATCAGCAGGTTCTCCCCTTAGCATGCATTTTTTGCCGTTTCTTTTTACCGGTTGTATCTAACTTTGGGTACAACTGATTGTATGATATAATTTAATTATGGGGTGTTAAAATATCATTAAAATGTATAAAATGAGCAAAAGTATACTGACTATTATTATTGTGAATTTAAAAAAATTAATTAAACTTTGCTCAATTTAAAAGATATTAGAGTATGTTCAGTAAAAAGTATTGCCATTACAGTTTTTAAATTTTAGTTCCATTCTAAAGAAAAGTGTTGTTAATTTGTTATTGAAATGTTTTCATTGGACACGGTTTTGTTATTTTTTAATTAAAACTTATCGTTTTGTGATTATTGATCAACATTTTTACTACTAAAGCTAATTATATTATTAAACTTAATTAAAAACAAAATCTCAAATAGTTCTCGTGCCCTTTGTGGTTCAAAAAATAGCCACCAATACCTTTCATATTTTCTAAACTTATTTTTAAACCTTTATAGTTTTAAATTGTGGCACCGACACCTCCTCCGACTATTTTACGTTCATTTCCCCAGAATGGGAGACATTGGTGCATATTTCTTAAAGGACAAGAGACACTAGAGCTCACTACCATGTTTTTATTTCATTTTTAAATTTCTTTTTAGGATACTCTTTAAAATGTTTTAAAATTTCAAAATTATATTGTGTTTGAAATGAAAAATAATTGAAATGAAAATAAATTAGCATATACTACCTCCGTCTCATTGTATTTGTCAAGTTTGACTTTTTCGAGTCAAACTGGACAAATTTTAAACTCCAATTACTCTCAATTTATATTGCATATTAGCATAATGAAATACAATTTTGAAAGTTCTCAAAGTTTGTCCTGCTTGACTTGAAAAGGGCAAACTGGACAAATACACTGAGATTGAGGAAGTACTTCATACGTCTAAAATTAAAAAAAATCATTTTTTTCTTTTCCAAAATAAAAAGAAAATAAAAATAGGAAAATAAAATAAAGGAAATGAAAAAGGAAAAAATTACAAAAATACTTTTATTGAAAAAGTAAAACGTAGTCATGATTCATGATGTTGATAAAACCCTTTTTGAGGATGTCTGGATTTTTTTGGGATAACATTTATTCAAGAAGACATAAAAGCATAAAGAAATTATTTTGGGCCAGTGCCCAACAAATCTAAAAAAACCTCTTTTTATTTTTAAAATCTGAAAGAATAACCTTTTAGAGACAACTAAAAATGTTAATTCAGGAATTTTAATTTTTTTTATTTTATGATAATTTAATGTACGTATAAAAAAATTCATAATTTTATCCGCTGAGTATCCGTTTCAAACATTTAACTCATATATGACGGTTAGACTTGAAGCATCTTCTTTACGAATAGAAAAAAGAGCTGGATGTTGGAAGGAATTGGAAGAAACTGGAAAAAAAATGAAAGAAACTGAAAGAAACTAGAAGAAACTGGAAAAAACTGGAATAAACTAGAAAAACATCAAAAAATTGGAAAACCTAAAAAAACTTTAAAAACATTTATTTTAAATTCTTTTTGTTATAAATTATTATTATTAATATTATATTATATTATATTATATTATATTATATTATATTATATTATATTATATTATATTATATTATATTATATTATATTATATTATATTATATTATATTATATTATATTATATTATATTATATTATATTATATTATATTATATTATATTATATTATATTATATTATATTATATTATATTATATTATATTATATTATATTATATTATATTATATTATATTATATTATATTATATTATATTATATTATATTATATTATATTATATTATATTATATTATTATTATCATCATCATCATCACGTTCTCTTAATAAATGTCTTTAAGATACAAAAAAAGGTATCGTTATTTTTTAAATACAAAAAACTACTTTTTCAAAAAAATAATTATAATATAAAGTTAGCATAAATATAAAAATATTAAATTTTAAAAAGTCTTTGTGGTTATATTGCACCTCAATTTAT